GTCTGTTTGATGGGGTTGTGTCGTAGAGTAAGAGAATGGGGTAGATTCTAGTAATACTCCCCTCCAGTTACACACACACACACACACACACACACACACACACACGGGGTAGAGATCTGAAGGGTGACATTAAATGACACACACAGAAGGGAAAACCAAATGGTGACATTGAATGGCACACTCAGAAGGGCAGGTAAAACTCATTTTGTCAAGCTGCATACATTTAGAAGAGACATACCTAAGGACAAGCAAAACAGAAACAAGAAGAGGTCATAAATAGGACAGGGATGGTGAGCAGACCAAAAGAAATAGTCTTCAGTGTTGGAAACTTAAAGAGAACCAGTTCCTAATGAGAGTGATTTATTAACCAAGAAAACAACAAACTTTCTAAATGTGCATGCATCTATAAAGAAAGCAAATTATATCTAAAAAGGGGCGTTTTCTCAAATTCCCCGTTACACTGAATGTCAATACACTAGAACACGTACCAAAATTTAGAAGATGTAAACAGTAAGACAATTAATTACTGCATTCTATTCAATGAGGCTCCCCCGAATCATGTGTTAAGATAAATTCTCCCCAAAAAAATAAACTTAAAAGAAATAGTGCAAGTCAGGTTCTCTGATTACAATGAAATTAGTGTGGAAAGTGATGGCAAACAGAATGTTAAACACATACACAAAACTGAAAGCTTTAATCAATACATATAATTCTGTGTCTTAGGAGAAATCACTCAAAACAATGCACACAAAATTTTTAAATATTCTATGAAAGAAGAAATGGGGTTTGTAACCCAAAAAGTTTATATTAACCAAAAAGGGGAGAAATAAATGAAGTAGAAATCTAACCAAATGTATTAGAAAATGAATAGCAAAACAAATCTCAAGGAACTGAAAAGAAATGATTTTAAAAAGGAACATATATGTTAAATAAATAACAAAAGTTCTTAGATCTTAGAGCCTGTGCTCCAGAGTTTGTATCATTGCAAAGGTCCAGGGCAGAACTGACACCAACAGACACGGCAGAAGTCATGTCAGGTCACCAAGACCACCATTTTGTCCTGGACAAGCAAATGCCTGCCCAGACCAGTCTCCAAGTGACTCTGGTAAAGTAACAGCTGCTCTCCTTGTCACTGTATTGTCACAGAAGCTCAGGGACTCCTGTTTCTATGGAAGAACAGGCAAGGCCATTGTGGTCAGACCCCATATCACAGCCCTCTGTGACCGACTTACTTCCTGAAGGCAAGGAGCCCACTCGAGGGCTTCTGAGCACTCTACCAATATCTTGGCCCCATCTGGGTCTTTGATACTGCTCAGCCCATTGGCTACCAGAGATTTCCTTCTCAGCCATCTGGGCAAGTCACCAGGGCCTATGTGGAGACTATAGCTACTACTGTGGCTTCTCTCTGACACTCAGAGCCCCTTGCCTTTGCAATGTGGAATTTCCCTCTGTATGCTATGATTACCATTGATTAATAAAGAAATGCTTTGAGCCTATGGCAGGGCAGAACAGAACTAGGTGGAGAAAGCTAGGCTGTATGCTGGGAGAAAGAAAGGCAGAGTCAGAGAGACACCATGGAGCTGCAGGAGACAGACGTTGGTCAGATCTTTAGCAGGTAAGCCACAGCCACGTGGCCATACACAAATTAATAGAATTGGGTTAAATTAAGATGTAAGAGTTAGCCAATAAGAAGCTAGAGTTAAGGGGCCAAGCAGTGATTTAATAAGTACAGTTTTTGTGTGGTTATTTCGAGTCTGAGCTGCCAAGCAGCCAGGAACGAACTAGCTGCCTTCCTACAACATCTTGTTTTCTGCATTTGATTGTTTCCTGTCCTACAAGGAATCTAATCTGTCTAAAAGTAGAGCTGGGTAGACTGTACTGACCCTCAGGCCCTTCCTAGCTGTCAAAGGAGGGCAAGGGGACTGGATTTGAAAGAGCGGCCTGGATTCCTTCCTTCCTGAGCAAGCTGAAGCACGGCAGAAGTGCAGCCAATAGAAGGTTCCGGCAGTCCTGGCTAGCTGAGTGCTTTTTTCCTTGTGTCTGCATCCTCTCAACACCCCAGGTGGTTGGTGTCCTAGGTGTGGTGCTCGCAGGATGTCCAAGGCATCCTGGGTGTTGATGACAAGATGGAAGTTTTCTTCTGGTCTGGGTTCCTTCTGCCATCATCTCTCTCATATCTCCTTCTTCTTGGAAATCATGGTCCTAGTCTTCAGCTCCCAAGCCAGGCCAGCAATCTTCCCTCTGAAAGAGAATCCCACCCTCAGCCTAGCTCAGTAACAACAAACAGATCATTGGTGGCTAAGCCAGCACAGATGGGGAGGTGGAGGGTGAGCTTTTGGAAATGACAGTCACTTCCAGAGAGTGCCTGTGGGGCCAAAGAAAATACTCAATGGTCGCCCTGTTACCTGTGTCTTACCTTCTCCCATGGAAGCCTGCTGTGAGGGCCAGTGGGGCTAAGCCACACCCTGGGATGAATGGGAGGGCTGTTGACCCAAGGGAAGATGTGAAATATCTTTGAACTACGTACAACTTGCTCCAGGCACCCATTAGGTGATGCACTGCCAGGCAAAGACATTCTAAAGCCAGGAAGTGCACTGCTTAGACAGGGCCATAGGTCTATCTGATGGAGGCAATTCTGTTCCTCAGTTGAGTTTCCGTCTTTCCAGGGGACTCGAGTCTGTGTCGAGTTGATTAAAACACCTAATCAGCACTCTGGAAATGAGTCTGAAAATGGGGCCAACATGAAGTACTTCATCCTCCAAGAGGTTATGCACACAAATGCAAAACCCACAGTATATCAGCTTAAGATCCACAGTGTAGCAACTGCTGGCCTCTTCTGTCAGCTGTCCTCCAGAGAACCCTCTAAAATCTGCTGGACTTATGGTGGGTCATGAGAAAGAGAAGTCTTGGTCCTGAAGTGGCCTTGCCCCCCTCTACATTGTTTCTAGCCTAAAGCTAGAGACCAGGGTCACAGTGATGGGGAACCTCCTTCAGCTAATAACCTTTAAGAGGCTGGACCAGGTTAGGGTGTGACCTTTTGGGTACCCAGAGAAAAGCCTACCCAGGGATCTCTCCTCTCTCTCTCTCTCTCTCTCTCTCTCTCTCTCTCTCTCTCCTGTGTTACACACCTGAGGTTGGACTTCCCATTCCTATTCCATGAGTTTGCCCCTTACAATAAAGAAATATAATTGGAACAAACTTGGAATTCTTTGATTCATCACAGAATCCAGCAGATGAGAAATTCAAATGCTTTCCTTTATAAAAATTGAAGGAAGGGGACTAAACTTAGTCTTTGTAACTCAAAAATTGGGAGAAAGGGAGTTTTACAGAAATGTTTTCCTTTTGGGACAGATACAGTTGTCAGAAATAACAGTGCCTTGTCTAGTCATATGATCCCTGTCCCAGCAGGTGCACATATCTCAAGAAATAGAGCATCTCCCTGGGCAACGGATTTGTTAATGAGTAACAAGTTACAATCTATTATTTCTTTTATTAAACTCCTAGCCTGATACCTAGGATACAGCAGCAAAGATATCTCAGTCTTGGCTCTGTGGCATCTGAGAGGTAGAGTACATTGACATCCGGGCTCTAGGAACCCAGGAAGGAGGGGTGACCGATGGCAACCTGGACGGAAACCTGGAGCCGCTGACTGGGAACTGGTGGCACTGGGAGCAGGAAGCTAGAGGCAGACACTCTTGGCTTGGTGGCAGGCTGACCCTGGGACTGCAGGAGTCCTGAGCACAAAGGGCCCTGGGGAGGGCAAAGTTGGTACACTGGCCCTGCAGGAGAGAGGAGAGACAGAAGGCTGAGATATCACAGCAAACAGGCCCTAAAGCTGCAGTAGCTTGGTTACTGGGTAGCGCGGGAAGCACCACCAAAACCACAGGGTAAGCTTGGGTGACCCCTCTTCTCCCCTGGGTCCTACTCTCCCACCTGCACTCCCCTTCCACATCTGCTGCAGGTAGCAGGAGTCTGAACGGTGTGAAGACAGAGAGGTCCACAGGCTCTGACCTTGAAAAACTTTGCCCTTTGTGTCTTACCTAGTAGAAGGATTTCTGGGAACGCAATTAAGGATTTGGGGGTGGTGAGTGGGGCTAGAGATGTGAGAGGATCTTATGCAAACCTCAGCAGGAGACAGTGCCAGCATGAGATGGCGGGTGTGGGGGGGTGGGAGGGGAGAGGAGGGCTCCTGAGGCTATGGAAGGTAAGGCCTTAGCTCCAGGGGTCAGTCAGGACAAGGAAATGGACGCTCCCACCACCTCAGCAAGCAAGGGTTCCTGGATACAACTTGGTTTTAGCTCACTGAAGTCGTTCCGCACTTGAGTGTGCAATGTCTATGACAAGTGCAGGGGTCACACGAGCTCAGGGACAAGCAATAGGGGTGAGTTCGGAGGATGTTAACAGGTAATTTGTAGCATAGCCATTCAAAGGGAAGGACCCCGTTTTCTCACACAGTAGGTGCAAGGAAGCCAGATGGGGGATGAACAGGAGGTCCTCAATACACAGCCTCTCAGCCCAGAGGTCTCTATCTTGTTCTATTGCCACCGCCACTGTGCACAGACCTAGAATTCCCCACCCCCAACCGCAGACACACACACCAGCCTGGAAGCCCTGAGCCACACAGACTGGATTAACTCCACATTTGCCTCTATGTCCCTCTGCCAGCATCTTGTGCCCAGATAACTGCCTGGAGGTCTTTATTAGGCTTTTTACAAAAGTCTTCCATGTTGCTCACTCCAAGTCAGAGCAGAGGGGTCGCTTCTAAGTCCTTCTCTGCTCTGCTGTCTGTGTAACTCAGCTCTTCAGCGGGTTGTCAAAGAACCCTATGTCATGCACCTTCTTCGCAACAGCAAACAGACTTTGCTAAAGGATGCAGGGTGCTCAGCTGGGCAGTGACATGTCCCAAGATGACTAAGGGAGTGAGCTCCAGCAAATGGAAAGCAGACAGGAATTGTGGGGTAGCGTTTCTCAAGAAGCTCCATTTGCACACTTCCTCCCTCCTACTCCTTGGGGTACTGTTGCATGTATCGGAGCACGAGCAGACTCTTTGTAAGGGTGGGAAAAAAAATCATGAGTCTGGCTGACCAAAGAACTGTCAAGGCCTGCGTGCGGAATGCGTGACTGCAGATGTAAGATGAGGCCATTTGGATAAAACTTCTTGGTGGCACTAAGCTTTCTCAAGTCAGTGTCTTCCAAAACGAAGCTTGTCTCACAATTCCTTTCTCTTTGTACTTTTTTGGTTTGCTTTGGTTTGGCTTTTCAAGACAGGGTTTCTCTGCATAGCCTTGGCTGTCTTGGAACTGGTTCTATAGTCCAAGCTGAGCTCAGATTCACAGAGATCCGCCTGCCTCTGCCTCCTGAGTGCTAGGATTAAAGGTGTGTGCCACCACCTTACTTTCTTTGGTGCTTTTAATATATTTTATAACACAGCTTAGAGACCTTATACATACACCCGCAGGCCCCTCTATTCACTTCCTCAGACCTTGTACCCTGCCACACGTCACATTCCTAGCTCCAGAGCAGCTACAGACCTTGGACTGGAGAAAGCAAAGGGCCCTCTTTTTTTCTAGGCTCAAGACAGGATTCACACGCCACTCTTCCAACCACAATTAATGTCGGGGATGCAGACAATAAATTGGGCAGCCAGAGCCCAGGAAGGACCATTAGGATGAGCCCAGACTAAAAGCCACCCTGGAAGAGTGACCTTAGTCACATCCCCTGCACCCACATAAAAGCTGGGCATAGTCATGTATGTTCTTAACCCCAATACTGGGCAAGGCATAAGCAGATTCCATGCGACCACTGGCAAAGCAGTATAGTAGAACCAGCAAGTTATAGGTTTCATAGGAGACCCTGTCTCAGAAATAAAGGGGAGAACAATAGAGGAAGACATGCATTGTTGACTTCTGGCCTCCATTCGCTCACATACACAGGAAAGAATACATGCTTATACATGTGTATGCTCTCTCTCTCTCTCTCTCTCTCTCTCTCTCTCTCTCTCACACACACACACACACATACACACACACAAAAGACCTTTACTACTTGCTCAATTGGGTCACTATTGTTTAGACAGCACTGTCAATCATGGCCAAAGTGACCAGTCATTGACTACATGGACGCTCTAAAAGGCTCTTGAGTATCAGGTCTCATGTCTTGCAAATTCTTCCTCTGCTCATGCTGGGACATGGTTCTGAGCCACCATCTGAGTCCCAGAAAGCCACCATCACAGGCAACAGAAGTTGTCATTCTGCCCCTTTGTAGTAGCCTTGAGTCCCACTTACCTGGTCACCAGGATGAGGCCACATCAATGGCAACTGGTGACAGCTTAGGGGGTTGAAGTTGCAATCGGTCACGTTGCCCTGAAAAATGGATACATATAGTCATGAGGAAGACTCAGGGCATGGACTCTGCCCCAGAAGGCACAAGGATCCTTGTTCTGTGCTCAAGGAATTCGGAGGAGCCAAAATGTGCTCCTGGAGAGAGGAGCCTACAACCTTGAGTGCCTGGAATCGCCACTGTAGGACACAGTTTAAGAGCCTGGGATGAGACGAAGTAGTGTTTCTGTAGGAAGAGAAGCCAGCAGCTGATTTAGGAGAAGTTTAGAGGCTGGAGGGGTGTGTAGTGGGGCAAGCAGAGGCCTTTAGGAGAGCCTGGATGTGGGCACAGACCTGGAAAGGGGACACATGGAAGAGGCAGGTAAACAGCCTATGTCTTGTGCAGAGGCAAGCAACATAGACCAAAGCAAACGCATAGAGGGTAGAAGAGCCTTAGCTCTAGGGGTTGAGAACCCCACAGCCTCAGTTCTAAAGTTCACAGTCTGGTGCCGTGGGCTGGGCCAGGTACTCTATGCCAGGTTAGACCTATGGCCAGTAGCCTATTTCTCTAGAAAACTTGTGTTGGTTTCTTTTCATGCCAGAGGGAGGAGGTAGGCAGAACTGGGCTTCAGCTAGTCTGGGAGGCTACAGAGGAACTAAAAGCTTCCAGAAGCAAGCAGGGACCATCTCAGAGGCAGGGCCAAGGAGGAAGAGGACTATCCAGGAAGAAATTAGAAAAAAGAGCCCAGGCTGCTTTCTCCTTCAGATGGAGTCCTCATAGATGAAAGCAGGCTTGGACTGTCTGCCCACCAGGGGTCAACTCTAGGGAGGATTCTTGTGACACCCATTGTAGTAATAGGAACAGCGGGGCTGCGTCCCCAGCACCCCGGCTGCCTGGCTAGCTTATGCCCGAAATAACAACACACAAACTGTATTCATTTAATCACTGCTTGGCCCATTTCTATCTAGCCTCTTCTAGGCTAATTCTCACATATTAATTTAGCCCATTTCTAATCATCTGTGTTGCGCCCCTAGGTGCGCTTACCGGGAAGATTCTAGCCTATGTCCATCCTGGGTCGGAGCTTCATCGCGTGCGTCTGCCTGGGAGCTGGGAGCATGGCGTCTCTCTGAGGCGTCTGCTCCCGAGAGGAGAGCTGTGGAGTCTGAGCTCACTTCCTCTTCCTCCCAGCGTTCTGTTCTGTTTACTCCTCCCACCTATCTTCTAACCAATGAGGGCCAAGCAGTTTCTTTTTATTTAACCAATGACCTTCCTCCATCAACCCATTAGGGTCTCCATGCCAACCTGTAACTCTTTGCCCCATCTTGGCAATAGAACCACTGAGTCAACTCTTTTCTGTGGACCCATAGAACTTGGAGCTAGTTGACCAGGGACACTGGATTTTCCTCAGTTTTCATAGTAGGTGGGTGTGTTTTGGAATTGTTCTTTCTTTTTCTATTGTCCATAGATTTGCAAACCTCCTTGTCATTCAGTTTATCTTGACTGATCCACCTGCATGAGAGGCTCTGTCAGAGCTAAGAAAATGACCCTGAGGACCAGGGCCTGGCCAGATAAGGCAGTAGTGGCCACTGTTCTGTTGTTTCAAGTTTCTTTGGTCCGCCAACCAACTCCCAAATAGTGACATGAAGACTTACTTATTAATTATGAACGCTCAGCCTTCAGCTTGTGTTTGTCTCACTAGCTCTTATAACTTAATCCAACCTGTTTGTATTGATCTACATTTTGCTTTGGGGCTTTTACCTTCCTTTTATTCTGTATGACCTTCTTTCCTGCTTTGTCCATGACTGGGCGGCAGGCCTCTGGCATCTCCCTGGTTTCTCCTTTTCTCCCTGTCTCTGTCAAGTCTAGATTCTTCCTCCTACTTACTACCTCTGCCAGAAAGTCCTGCCTATGCCTCCTGCCTAGCTATTGGCCATTTGGCTTTTTGTTAGCCCCATTAGCTGCCTTAGGCGGGCAGGGTAAACAAACGCAATACATCTTTGCACAGTTCAGCAAGTATTTCATAAGCAAATGCCCCATGTCGCTACATAGTTAAACTAATATTCCACAACATTGGCAAATGCAATACAGCCTTGCATAGCTAAACTGACATCCCACAACAGTCCCAGATCCCGGATGCTGCCAAAGAAGAGGGCAGGTGGTAGAGGAAGGCAGGTGGCCTTGGGACCCTCCTGCATGCTCTTCTCCCTAGGATAAGGTTGTTCTCAGACACATATCAGTTCAGATCCTATTCCCTAGAGATGCACCCTCCCACACTCAGGCAGGAGGGAGTCACAGCCCCCATGGGGTCCTCTCACCTCCGTGTCTCTGCTCACAGTCAGGCCACGACAGGTGCAGCAACAGATGATCACAATGGGGGATGCTGGTGCTGGGGGAGACACTGGAGGAGGGGGCTGTTGCTTCTTTCTGGGCTGATAGAAGAGAGAAAAACCTGTCTGATCCTCGTCTGTGCTTTGCTCCATACTTGGCACTGTGGGGCTACTCTGCTCTTGTTTTGGGGTAGATGGAAGGGTATGTTCCACAAGTTGGGAAGGTCTTCCACTAGAAGGAAAGCAGAGAGCTCCCTCCTCACAGTTTTCAGATATGGAGCTTCATGAAGTAAGAGCAGCCCACTTCTGAGGCCAGCCTGGCTGGTAGAAACCTGGCCTCGTTACTGTATAGTAAGCCAGCACTAGCAGGCAACTGTCCCATCCATCTGTCTCTGGCTTTTGCATGGGCTTCCTCACCCAGGCCACTCTGCAGCCAACACAGTCTCACCAACACAGGGAGCCTGTTCCTATGTCAGCCCAATCACAGGTCCACCAGCCCCAGCCTCTCACTATGACTTCTGATCCTCACCCGACATGAACCACAGATGATCATCCATCTTGTTCCTGTGTTTCCTTGGTGACATCCCTCACAGATCAGGGCCATCTGGGACTCTTTCACTATCCTTATCCCCCAAAGTCCTAGGCTGACCCCAGCCAGCTCCTCTACCCTGCCAGGAGACAGGGATGAAGACAGATCTAATGGAGCAAGAAGGCCTCCAACATGGGGATGGGGACCAGAGCTTGACAGAGAAGCCTGTTCTCAGGAAGCTGCAACCTCAGCATCACACAGAGTCCTTTGAGATCTGATGAAAGTTGAGTCTGTAGAAACAACTGCTCCCACTGAAACAGCTCCCCATGGGGCTGATTGTGTGGCCAAGGCAGGAGGCCCTAAAAGTCTGGGTGATGTCACCATGAGTCCCATCCTAGACCCTTTTAGATCCTCCGTCCTTCTTTCTTCCTGAGTACGGACAGGTCTTCCGATACCTCTTTTGAAGGTCATTGTTCTTCCACCCATGACAGAGACAGCATCCAAAGCATGACTTACCTGTGGTTGGGGCTTAGGTGGGGGTGGCTCCTCGACAGGCTGGAGGGTAAAACAGACAAAAAAGAAGCTAGTATATGTAGAATGGGCTCTGCCTTAGCTCTGCAGACTGGGGCGTCTGATGCCGCTGGGATGTGTCACAAATCCTGGAATCTGCGTGGGTGTCCATGCCTGGGCCGTTGTGCACAGCAGGCCCCACCTGATCTACTAGAGCCCCGGCTCTTCTCTGCAGGAAGGGAAGTGATGAGCCGGGTCAAGGTGCTGATGCTGGTGAAACCCAGCAATTGAAATACTGCATCCTTGCCCTAGCCCCACCTGCATCAGCATCTATAGTCCCAGTGTCTTGCAGAATCCCCTGACCTCCAGGCTGACATCTACTGCCTGCACCTCTAAATAGAAATGGGACCTGACAGTTCTGCCTCTGTCATCCCCAGGGTCATGGCGCCACCTTGTGTCTATGCCTCTTGGATGGAGGGCGTGTTCCTGGGCTCCAGACTGAGCAGGTTAGGGAACTCACCGGAAGGCAGCACAGCTGCCATAAACAACCAATCAGCAACAGAGTCAGCAACAGGCCCAGGAGTATTGGGGCAAAAATGAATATATCGCCGCTGGGCTTCAGTTCCTCTGTGACCAGCGGGACGGTGGTGGGACTTTCAGTGGTCGTCAGTGAAGTAGTTGCTGTAACTGTGGTTGTGGTAGGTGTAGTTGTGGTTGCCGGTGCCGTTGTCGTGGTAGATGTTGTCTTGGTGGTAGTGGTACGTGTTGTTTTAGTTGTGGGCCTCCTAGTGGTTGTAGTTGTGGTGGTAAATGGTTCTTTGCCCTGTGAGAGGGAAAGGTCAGATGCCACCACCGCCAGAAGCACATCCCACCAAGACCAAAGGCAATTGTGCAAGGCCCTCATAGGTATCTGCAACTTGGCTTCTTATTCTCTCTTACTCCTGGACTTCTCAGAACTGATAGATAACCAGGAGATCTTATCTCCTGGCTTGGCTTCTCATTCTCTCTCTTACTCCTGGGCTTCTCAGAACTGATAGATAACCAGGAGATCCAATTCTCTGGCCCTGCTCCAAGGCTCTTGCCAAGGTAAGAATGGTTCGGGATCCTTTGTGGTCTGAAGATCATGGCCTTCAGGTGGCTTCAGCTGACAGTGCACTGGGCTATGGGTAACCAAATCTCTAGGAAAGGCTGCAACTCTGGAATGGGCGGGGTTACAAGACTAATATTTCTCTTCCTACCTCATAACTCCACAGCACTCACCTCTTCTCCCTCTTAGCTCCATCTTGTGACCTAAATAGTGCCCACTTTTGTGGGCACTTGGCAAGGTCAGAGTTCACAGTCCTGGTTCAGGTTCAGGTCACAGAACTTCAGGATGGGGACTATTCTCCCAGTTACCTCCTAGAGTGGGTTGTAGCCTGTCCAACCCTACAGAGTCAGGGGCTTGTTAAGGGCAAGCTATAGAAATCACTGGGTGGAGGTGCCTGGACCCTGTGGTTGCCTGACTGAAAGCAGAGAACACGTGGGAGATGTAACAGTAGCTGCTGCTGGGAGCTGAAGACACAGGGGCTTCTCTGCCTCTGCATTTAGGTCTGGGGATGTTAGTGGGCAAGAGCCTAAAGACCAGAAATCTGAATTCACTCTCTCAGCCTATGTGTGGATATGAGGGATGAGCCAGGGAAACCCAGAGATGCCACTCAACTCTGTGGGTTTCTTATAAGCCGAGCGAAACAACCTTTTCCTGGACACACTCTGGTCACACTGCACTGGACTTTGGTGCCACCAAATATGATTGAGGACAGGGGGTCTAAAGTATGTTTGGGGCCACATTAGTGTCCAGGGCTCCCATTCTTTACCACACCCACCCTGACGGCAATAGTGAACATCTGGATTCCTGGACCTGGGACACCCACGTGGAAAGGCCACCTGCCCTAGACATCATGGGCAGGCCCTGGCAGACAGCTTCATACATGCCTCACTGGCCCTTCTGGAAACTGGGCTGGGTCACCTAAGTTGCTTGGGTATACAAGCTGCCCTTGGGGCCTGCCCGGAAGCACCCCCTCTCTGCCCCTCTGACCTAGAGGGTAGATCTGCACCAGCCAGAGGATCTGCACAGATGGGATCACAGCCCGACCCTGGTACTCACACATAGCTTGCTTGCAACGAATGCATTGTTGTTATTCAGGAAGTTCCTTCCATTGTCCAAGCTGAGTAGAATATAGATCACTCTAACACAGAGACAGACACTTAGTAACAGCCTGGTAACAAGGACCTTGAGCTTGACTGAAGAAATAATCCCAGTTCTTCTCATGGGCTATCCTAAATTGCAGACACTCTGAACTGCTGGAGAGTGAACTTGTGGGCAAAGAGAGCTCATTTCCAGAGGAAGTAGGACTGAGCCTCTGCAATGACAGTGAAGAGCTGCATATTAGACCATGAGAGGCAGCTGCATCACAAAGCTAAAGCATTAGGAAGGTGTGCATAGTACCACCAGGCTGGCTTGTCCCAGAAAGATGGTCAGAGAACATGTTCTGGCTGTCAGTTCCATCTTCTCCTGAATCCTGCCCTCAGTAGAGCCTGGGCATTGTGCACCACTCAGCACCACGAGGGACCACCAACAAAGCCAGGTGGGAGGGTACTGGAGCCCACCTGCAGGCAGACAGGTGCTCTGCCACACCTTATATCCCACACTACACTGGTCAATACTGACCACTGACCTCCTCCCTCCAATAAGGGGCACTTACTTTCCTGGTTCATCCACGATTGGTCCAGGACAAGTAACATTAGTCTTGGTTAAATTGATGGCTTTTACATCTAAAAGAAAATGACAAAAGTTGCCAATGAATGTGTCCGTCCACCATTGTTGCAATCTCATCTCTACCTCCTTCAACCCAAAGACATCCTGTAGGCCCCAAGTCTGCCCAGCACCCCAGCACCAAACAGCACTTTGGTGCCTAGTAGAAGCAAGCAGCAAGAACCCCTGCTCCTCAGGGCTCACCCACTGGGGACTGAGATCAACTTTCCCTATCATAAGCTAAGTGCGCATGAGCAAACATATCTCTCTCTCTCTCTCTCTCTCTCTCTCTCTCTCACACACACACACACACACACACACACACACACACACACACACACAGTGGGTGGAAAGAATCTGCTTGCTGCTTGTGAGAGAAAATGTGGCATTTGTCTTTCTGGATCTGGATTATTTTGCTTAACATGATCTTCCATCCATTCTCCTGAAAAATGACATGATCTCATTTTTATTTTTAGCTGAAAAATCCATTGTGCATATATTTATTTAGAATAGTATAAGAATAGTAAATAAGATAAAGGACTTAGATGGGGGAAAGAGGAGAAAGGGAGTTTTTAAGTAAGTAGAGGAGTGGAGGGAAAAAAAACTATGGACAAGGAAGAAGAAAATAGTGTGAGATTAGCAAAAAAAAAGGGGGGGGGTCAAATTTCCCAATAATGAGAAAACCTGAAAACAGAAAAGAAAAAAAAAGAGTGCCACCCAAGGCAAAAATCTATAGGCCACTAAGGAGTTCTGAGAGTGGGAGGGTGAAGACGTCTCCCCAGGGCAGAGCCCTCCATGATTATCCAATGAGGATGGCCCAGCCCTGGAGTCAAGCACAGGCGACAATGGTGGATCCAGCAGATCGTGTCTTTATATGTGTAACAATAACAAAGCAAAGCAGGACAGGCACTGGAGAGGGAATGAGGTCTAGGGAGATAGTAGAAGTTTAAAGAAGTATAGGAAATAACAGAAAATTAGGAATAAATTGAAAGATTATCCCATAACAAGAAGGTATAAGAATTGGATGAATGTAGGGCAAAGAATAAAGAATATAACCTATGTTTTCTGGTATAAAATAGGGTTAAAGGAATACTGGCAAAGTGCCAATGAAGGAGGGGATGTCCCAGGTGTCTCAGTCAGGGCTTCTTTTCGTTTCTACACACTTCCCCTTCCAGCAGGACAGTCAACGAAGGCGGGGAGACTTTACCAAGAGAAGTGACTCCACTTACCTTCGAAACTCTTATCCATGTCGTGGAAAAGGAACCTGCAAATAACCTCCTCTTTACGCACGGCAAAGTCAAAGCCATATCCACGAAGTATGACTGGGTTTGATTCTGTAAGGACAATGTTCACACTGTGAGGAGATCTGGATGCTTCGTTCTTAATCTACCTTTTCAGGGCTCTCCCCTTCCTAAACTGGAATTTCCAGGTGACCTCCAACAAGGGAGAATTTGTCTGTGAACCAGCATTCGTATTGGTTCCCACTTGTTGTCAGACCCTTCCTCACAGTGGAGTAGCTGCTTGTGGACACTGATGCTCACATACAGGAGACAAAGAGTAGGCAGCAGGCTGGCTGTTACCACAAGAGCCAGGCAGAATTCCCTCAGCCCAAGCCTTTGCTCAGCTGCCTCAGGGCCGAGACAGCTGATCCCTGTACCCTTCCTTGCACAGGGTACACTGTGAAGTGCACAGATAGATACCCAATGGTAGCGGACCAAGGATGCGCCTCCCTCTTCACACCCCTGGAACATAGGCTGACTCAAATGGCTCACTCTGCTTTGTTTGGGGTGCAGCATCCTGCCTTGGGCTTCCCTCCAAACAGCAGGCACTCTGTATGTGCCAAGTTCACACAAGATGGCCGACAATTTCTCAGCTCTGTGGTTGAACTGATGTCTGGAGGCACCTATCTTATTGGAGACAACTCATGCTTTCTTCTGGGGTTTGCCTCAGATGCCCAGACAGCAAGGCCAGACACCACGGGACAATCAGAAACATGCAGGAAGTTTGCATGGCTGGGCTTCTTTATCCAGAAGCAGAAGAGAGCCTGTAGGAAAGGCAGCTTCTTCCCTTCCCTTCTCCACACAGCTGTCTCCTCTCTCTTACACAGCATAAGGAAGGACAAGGAGCAGAATAGAGCCAAGTACTAGAATAGAAATACGAGGCTCAGGTTCTGTCTTTAGCACCTACCGTCTTCTAGACCCGTCATCTTTCTTTCTATCCATTGTGTCTAATCTCATCAACAGCCTATGCATGCCATTTCTTTCCATTAGAGGATACACTGTAGCCCCTCTTTGACTTAGGCTGATTGTCACAGAGAGCAGGGCTCAGCCATGATCATAGTCTTGTCTGTCCACGTCTAGAGCCTTGGGGCTCTCTGGGAAGACACAGATGTCAGGATCCACCTGCCTAGACTGAAGGAAGCAGAGCCAGACTTCCTTGTCCTGTCTTCTTTTGCAGGACACAAATGCCAGCTTTGTAGAGACCAAGCCTGGATGTACCATGATCCTGACAAAGAGGGGCAGCCGTCTCCCAAGATTATACCAAGGTGTGACCTCTGTAAACTGACTTTGGGGGTGGGGCAGCTAGAATGGATAGATGCCACCCTGTCCACTCCAGTCCTTGGGGTCAGGCATCTACTATTTCAGTGCTGAGGTGAGCATAGCTATTTTTGTAGACCGTAAGAGTCCCTCATGCTTCTAGTAACATCGTGGATATCCTTTTGTTCCCAATTCTTTCTCTTCACTCCTCAATGTGATCGCCATTTTGTGAGTGTTGAATGCTTAACTTTTCTGGAAGGAACCAAGCTTCTCTGGGTTTACTGGTAGCTACATCTGGGCTTCAATGAGAGTTTTGTGTCCTTTTTCTAGTTTACCAATTACACTTTTGTTATGAGATAAATCAGCAGAAATTATACACATACTGCTATGCCATCATAGCATATACCTTCCAAATGTGCATTCCATTATACCAAATCAAAGTTCCCCCATACATGCTCATCCCCACATACACACATACCGCACCTATCCATACTCCAACACGCATAAAGTCCTTGTACACACAACACATCCACATATACATATCACGAACCGTATGTATAACACAAAAATCTATACATATAGACATACAATAGCAACAGCACAAAACACATGCACACAGAATATATACCCATATAAACCACGTGCACACAAAACTTTACATGCCATCCAGAAACTGCACATACTCATTGCATGCGCATCACCCCCACATCACAAACCTCATGCATTTGCACACAATACATTTGTCTGCCTACAATGGTGCCCTCAGCCCTTACCTCTGATACATATAATGCGTGTATCTGAAGCTTGAAGGGATGGACAGGCCTTGGAAGCTATCTGGAACATAGAGAACAGTAAACAAGGTTAGAAAAGTAAGCTGCAGGAATCCTGCGAGATGGCACGCCTCTGCCTATACCCATTGCACTCACTGGGAAAATGAGGTCATTCAGGTGTTCAGCTTTCTTTTCTGTATATGCATTTTCTGGTTTCCCTGCAATTTCCAGTATCTAAAAAAGAGACGTGACTTGAGCATCCAGTCGTGAATCTTTTGATTCAGTCTTAGCTCAGACACTGGCTCCTGGCCACAGCCTAGATTTTGAAACAGCAAGCTCTCTTCTCACCCTACCTGGGGGAAGAGTCTCAGTCATGTTTGCCACTGCATACTGCTTCAGTGAGCACCTGTTGCCTATACCACCGGGGTTGATGATGACTACCTTTGCAAGGGCTTGCTTTAACTGGGGCTCAAACTGTTACCTGATTTTTGTCAGAGTGGCCCACACCCACACAGTAAACAGGCACTCCCATTTTCCGAGCATCATCAGCCTAAGAGAAAGACAGGAGTTACATATAAGCCACCAACGTATACAGCGTGCAAGAGATGCAGTTGAAGATGGCTGGGCTCACCTCTTCCATAGAAAACTTATAGATGTCATCGCCCAGAGGACTGTTGAGTAAGGAGATGATCATGCTGGGACGCTGGACATCTGCAGGAAAGCAAGTGACTTGGTACTTGAGGTCCCAGCAGAGACCTGCAGAACCGTCAGGGCCCACCTTCCAGGCTATCAAACACAGCACTACCCAACATAGGCCCAGTTCCCTCAATCCCTAAGTTACTTGGCTCAGGAAGCCAGACCCAGAACCCACCAATCAGTGACCCTAGAGTGAGAAGAAACTTTTTTCACTACCTGTTCTACAGATTAGGAGGTAGAAGGGTCAGGAGTAGATTTTGTATGAGCGCTCTATCTGTATGTACACCTTTAAACCAGAAGAGGGCACCAGATCCCATCATGGATGATTATGAATCACCATATGGTTGTTGGGAATTGAACTCAAGACTTCCGAAAGAACAACCAGTGTTCTTAACTACTGAGCCATCTCTCCAGCTCCAAGAAGCAATCTATAGATTGGGAAGCCCATTCTCTACTCAGCCTATCCGTGAGGCTGAGGATGCCCAGTGAGGTGGGAGAAGCTGGTGCTAAGTCTGGGCACAGTCCTAGAGATGTCCTGTGGTAATAGTGGACCTGGTAATCAGGACCATAGGTCAGAAGGAGTTAGGTAACAGACGCCACACTCTCGGCATCCCGCCCCCTGATCCTACCTACTCCAGACAAGTGCTATGGGCTTACAACTCTCTGTCCTGGGTCCTGGCTACGCATTGCCCCTTGTACTGCCTGACACATGGGTGCAAGAGACAGGTCAGGAGAAAAAAGAATTGGAAAAGGAAGATTTGACAGCCAAGGGGACAACAAGCCCTGGTTTCATTCATGGGTCACTGTACCTTACCCTTTTCTGCTCACAGGGCCATCTGTAGGGCAAAGACCTCAGCATGACCGAGACCCACACACCCTTCTCAGATGCATCTCAAATACAGTGCTGTGCTCACAGGGGCCTGAAGCTCAGAGAAGGAGCCACAGAGTCATTCCTAGCACCAGAAAGGCATTAGAAGAGGCCTGGGGGGTTGCACGTGGGCTTTCCAGGGCACCCCAGCTCTGTGGGGACCCACCCAACTAAAGTGCAGCCAGCTCACCTCCTGAGTTGACCTTTCTTATCTGCTTGTTTGCCTGCAAAGAAACAACAACAAAAAAGGGGAGTCATTGTGAGATGGCCCGACGATCCTTAAAGCACAGGTAGCTCCATCCAGCCCTCCACACCTTCCACAGTCCTAGGTAAATGAGTTCATATCCCGCAGGTATGCTATACTTCAGTCTTTCAATGCCCTTAAGGATTTCTTCTCTGGAAAAAAAAAATCAGAAATAAAGGTGACATGAAGACTATGGGTGGTGACAAATATCTTCAAGCTTTCCCTGGGCCTTTCTTTGTGTATGATGCCATGAGTACACAGGCAGTTTAGGACAGGGGTAGGGACCGGAAAAGTTCTCATCCAGTGTCAGAGCCAAGGACTCTCATGGGGACCCACATCCCTGATCAAAACCCTAATGCCAAGGCCATACTCAGGAGCAGACTATTACTCAGTGGGTAGGGCTTCAGGGGGACCATGTCACCCTGCTGAGCTACTGGCCAGCTCCCATCTCCCCTGTTGCAGAGCCCTGACCTGACTTCCTCCCCTCCAGCCTGCTAAAGGCAGCAGCCAGTCTACTTAGATACCCAGCTGTGGACTACACAAGCGCTCAACAGAGAAGCCTAAAGGCTTCCATGGGGGCTTTCCACGAGGTGTCTGTGTTGGTCTCTGGACTAGAAGCAGCACGGCCTGTCAGGTGCTGTTAAAATAGATGGAACACACTGAGGCCGGCAGGGCTGGGTCTAGTGGCTGTTCTGGGACAGGAAATGGTTGGTTGAAGAGAATCCAATGGGACAAGCGACTCACAGTGGACTCTAAGGTGGCTTCCTACTGGGGATAAAGAGATCTTGCCATGAGTCAAGCTCTGAAGAAGACCTTATGGCCTGGCCTAGCCCAGCCTAGTCCAGCCTAGCCCAGCCTAGGCAGTATGAGGGTAACATCCAGGAGGCCCAATGGAGTCAAATCACAACCTGTCAACCTAAGCCCAGCCCCCATCCATCTGCCCAGCTTCTACTGCCTCTCTGGGCTTTCTACACAAATCCTTCCCATAGGTGTTCTCTCTGACACCTCAAACCCATTCAGGTCTCTCCAAGCCTAAGCCACAGGGCACATCATTTTTTTCCCTGGATTCTTGGGACCAGTACCCCTGCTCCTTTTCCCAGATGAAAAGGGGCTGCCATCTTCATAGGTGTGTAACATGTCCTCTTTCACTCATTGAGCCTGGCTTTTCTCCCAGGCCCTGGACAAGGGGTACCTAGACCTCAGCACATCCATAATCCTAAATGTCCATGCCTCTTTATCTCTGTTTCTCTTGCTCTATATGGAGTTCCAGGCCAGGCATCCAAAGCTCTTCCTAACCCTCAACATCCTTTCCCTGGTACTCTGGAGACAAGTGGGTCACCTCCCTCTTGGGTACCTGCTCTGCGTGTCTGCCTGTAGTGTACAGGCATACCATGGACTCGTGATCCCACCCTGGGATTCACCCTTCCCAAAGTGAGTCTCAGCTGCCTTTCCCTGGATCCCAGAACCTTCCCCTGGTTCCCAGCTATCTCTCTGTCCCACTGGAGGATGACCAACAGGCTCTATATAAGCCAGGGTTGTTTAGGGGATCCACGTATCTGTTCCACCCCTCCTCAACCCCATGTGTTGTCATAGCCAGGTCAGAGGAGATTCAAGAGTGTTGGAAGGCAGACAGCAGGAATGAAGAGAACTTCTGAAGGCACAAGGTTATGGGTTCTAGTGAAGTCAGAATTCAAGGGGCCGACAGGCTGGAGTTAGCAGAGAATAACAGGACATAAGCACATGGCAACAGCCACGGTGGACTCCATAGGAGCCCTCGTGGAGGTCTCTGCAAGCCCTCAGTTCCACGGAGGACTGAATCATCGAGCCTGAGCCAGCCTCCACATGAACACGTACCTGTCTCCAGTGATGGGCAGGATGATGTTGCCCTTACAAGAGAAGGTGATGATGGACACTCGCAGATCCTGACTGGGAGGAAGCAGGTATTTATGAGAGGCCACCACCTCGACATGATGATATCAAGATGTCAAGGAAGGTACTCAACAAAATTCTCTTTCCCCTGTTCTCATCACTTGCCCTTTGAGGCCTTAGCAGGCATAGTGAGGCTGAGGAAACTTCGTGAAAGATTCCGAACCCTATGGAAATGTGACCCCTGAAAAAGGGAGGCCGCCAAATCAACCCCCTACTCCATCCCTGGGCTCAAACACGTGCACATTGATATGCCTTACACTCGTGCACTTACACACACTCATGCACACCCACCCATGCTTAACAAGCCAAGACTCCTCCATAAGATCCTCCCTCTTGTGCCTCCCAAATCCAAAAAGTGTGTCCTCTGCCCGACAGGACACGCCCCCTGCATTTCAAAGGAACCTGCACCATCAAGTCGTACTTCGATAACCTCTGCACCATATCCGCCACGAACTTGTAAACATACGGCCAAGAGTCTGACATGCGGTCTGACCTGAGGACAAAGGAGATATCCTTCAGTGGATACAGGGTTCCAGTGGATCAGCCCACTTCCTCCATTCCCAGCCTTCCACAGGCTTCTTAACTAGAGGTCTCTGCACCAACAGTGCCAGCCATACTAGAACAGCCTGAGCGGTAACTTTCTCCAGGGCCAGCAATGGGCAGAGGGTGACTACAGAGCCCCCATCTGGTGGAACAGAAAGGGCCCCATGCTAGAGGCTTATTGGTGTGTCTGGCTGAGCACAGCAAGGTACGGACTGTAGTCTTGAAATCGGGAAGTGTCCTTTGTTTGGAAAAGCCCCTGAGTTCTTGTAGGGAGTCTCTCTGGATTTCCCAGTTACCCTTGGTTTTCTCTTTCCCTTTTCATCACTTAACACAACTGTTGCCAGGAGTCCTTGCTTGCTATAATCCAGGCCCAGAGGATGGCTCAGGCCTGGGCCATATTTTCCTTGTTATACTCTTGAGTTTGAACATCAGGTTTCCCCCAACATATACAGATCCTTTTTCATACCTGTGTGCCACCCACACTCTTTTCTCATGGCATTCCCATTTCCAAACTCCTCCACCTTTCCCAACATTCACAAAAGAGGCATTTTCTCTGGAAGATGGTCCTTAGCTATGGTTAGTGGCCATGAAAGTCTGTTTCAGAAGCTAGTCTTCAATCACCCCACACAACTCAGTCAACCTGGGCTAAGAAGGGCTCCTCCAGTCAACACTGTTAGGAGAGGCAGATGCAGTCTCAGTCACTACTACCATGACATCATAGTTCCCAGTCCTCATGAGAGCTGTGGGAATCTTCCAGTTCTGATACTCAAATCCCTGCTCTGTTCCTACCTCCACCCGCCTTGGTCCCTGGATGGAAAGTAAACAGTTGTGAAGGAAGTGGCCTTTGTAGCCTTCCATAGGATTCACCTTTGATCCACATCCCCCCAAACAAAGGACTCTGTAATCCACAGCTTTGCTGGTCTTCATTTCCATAAAGACACAAAAGGTACTTGAGATGTGGTACTGAGATGTTCAATGGCTGTCTATTCTTTCTGAAATCTGAATAGTGGTGTGGAGCGAATCTGAGGCTGGCATAGCCTCTGGATTCTGTTGGCTTCTGTGTTTTGAATGCTGAGTCAGAAGCACCTACTAACAGAAGCATTCTCACCTCCAGTGACATGTGTGTTCATGAGCATGACCTTCTTGAAGGTTATGTCCATATAACTGTCTCTGAATTAGTCACTTCTCTTGCTGCTGTGACACAATATCAGACAAAAGCAGAAAGAAAGAAAGAAAGAAAGAAAGAAAGAAAGAAAGAAAGAAAGAAAGACTTGCTTTGTGGCTTGAATCTTGAGAATACAGTATAACATAACATCATGGACAAGTAAGAGAAGCAGGATCACCAGGCAGTTAAACCAATGGTATCCATAGTCAAAGAGCAAAGAGAGCCAGGTGGTGGTGGTGCACACCTTTAATCTCAGTACTCAGGAGGCGGAGATGATCTTTATGAGTTCAAAGCTAGCTTGATCTACAGAGAGAGTTCCGGGACAGCCAAGGCTACAAAGAAAGAAAGAAAGAAAGAAAGAAAGAAAGAAAGAAAGAAAGAAAGAAAGAAGAAAGAAAGAGGGAGGAAGGGAAGAGAGGGAGAAGGGAGAAGGAGGAGGAGGAGGAGGAGGAGGAGGAGGAGGAGGAGGAGGAGAAGAAGAAGAAGAAGAAGAAGAAGAAGAAGAAGAAGAAGAAGAAGAAGAAGAAGAGCAACAAGAGAATGATGCAGTGCTCAGCTTGCTATTTCCTTTGGATTCAGTCTGAGACTCCAGCTTATGAAACAGTGTTACCCTCATTTAACATGGATCTTCGCACCTCAGGTAGCCTGACATAGATGTTCTCTAATATCCATGTCCAGAAATGTGTCTCCTAAGCAACCCTAAATCCTGTCAGGTTGATAATGCTAACCATCACATGTCCAACCCTTGTCAACTTGACACCAAGCAAAACCAGCCACCTTTCTTTGTCAGCTCATGGCTATCTCAGAAGACAAAAATGCATTCGGTCTAACTCCAAAAGTCCAGCAGCTCTTTACAGTCCCAGTACTGCTGAGAAGTATAGACACATAATCTTTTCAGACTAAGACAGTGAGCTCCAATAACTCCCAGAAACAAATTACATGTTTCTAATATACACTAGCACAGAGTAAAAATTTACTGTGTCAAATGGAGACACCGCAAGGATCAGACTAAAGCAAAGCCAAAACCAAGCAGGACAAACATCATGTCCAGCGTCTGGTGTCTTGAAATCATCTCCCTTGGGTAGCCCTGGCCCACAAGCTCTGCTGCCTTCAACACAGATGCCTTCAGCTTTTCTCAGCAGATGCCCCTTGGATCTCCATTAAGACTTAGACTTCATCTCCTCAACTTCATGTACTCTGATCCCAGCCACACGTTGTCTGGACCCAATGGCTTCCTAGAACCATGGCACCATGGACCATGAACACTGAAATCTAGCATCTTTGTGTCTACAAACATTTGTGTACTAAACCTTGCTCCTTTAGACCATCTGTCTTTGTGGACTGGCCCCATAGAAACACTTTAGTGGGCGGCTGAACTACTGCAGTGGCATTCCCAATGTAGATGTTCCCCTTCTGGTGAATCTGTATTTTTCAGAAGACCAAGTCTTTGCTAGGTAGCCTTTTTGTCCTTGGGGCATCTTTTCTATTGTTTCAGTGCAGAGAAGGTTTTTCTTTAAAGATGTTTGTTTTCATACCAATTCCAACTGCTTTCACAGCACCCACCTTGTCTTCTGCAACTTGAACTTTCTCCTTTCCCCACAAGTCACATTTGTGTGTGTGTGTGTGTGTGTGTGTGTGTGTGTGTGTGTGTGTGTGTCTTACTCCCTTGTTTGTTATCTTTTATTGGAGACCCGGGACAAGAACAATGGGCAATATTCATGCTATCCTGTATTGAAATTTCTTCCACCAAACAAATTAGTCCTTTACTTAAAAAAAAAAAAAGTCTCATGTATAGTGGTACTTCAATTGTATTTTAACAAATAAAGACTGCCTGAAGATTTGAGAGTAAAACAATCCCACTGGTCAGTCTTACAGACCGGGTTATAGTAACACACACCTTTAATCTCAGTAGCCACAATGCTATGCACCTTTAATACCAGTAACCACACTAGTTGCCACAGAAACTGAGAAGTGCATGCCTTCAATGATGGTGGTGCACACCTTTAATCCCAGCCCTAGAGAGTATTATAAAATTGGAGGAAACAGCTCTCAAAAGATAGTCTCATTCTGAGATTCCAGGAGGCAGGTTCGCTATTTCAGACTTAGGTCGAGGTAAGAGCCAGTGGCTGGCTGTTTTACTTTCCAGATCTTCAGGTTGAACCCCAATTTCTGACCCTGAGCTTTTATTAATCATGTTTCACTCATGTATCCTGGGATGCCCTCAAACTTGTTGTGCAGAATGACCCCAAACTCGTGATCTTCCTGCCTCTATTTCCTAAGTACTATGCACCACCAAGCCTCTTTTATGTGGTTCTGAGCATGGAGCCAAGGGCTTTGTGCATTTTAGTCCAAGTGCTCTGCTGACCAAGCTATCAGTTAAACCCTTTCTCTCACTCACGTTCTCAGAACGTAAGTGTAATGCAAACATATTCTTTCCCAGATCCCAGAGTCCCCATCCCTCTCGGAAACCTTGGGAGCAGATCCATCCCATTCCCACATACATCTTGGCATTCTGGTCTTCCCAACAGCCACTGGAATGACCCATGAAGCTCTGTTTTACAGCACTGTAGGGATTTTCTAGCCAAAAGGTCCAAATTCTTTCACATTTTCTATTGCAAATCAGTTCTAAAAGTCTTAATCACATAGTCCAGTTTATCACAGCAACTATTTCACATCTCAGTAGCTGGAACAAAATTGCCGACAGGAGCAGTTTAGGGGTTCATTTTGCCTCAGATTTCAGGATGTAGTCCATCACGAAGGCAGAAAAGCCATGGGTGCAGAACCAGAGGGCAGCTGGTCATGTAGCAGCAGCCCAGAAGCAGAGAGGAAACCAATGCTAGTTAGCAGCTCGCTTTCTCCTTCTCTATCCACTCTGGGACCCTTGGCATGGTGCAGCCAATTTTTAAAGAAAGTCTTCCCACTCAGCCCAGTTTAGAAATTCCCCCATCAACATTCCCTAAGGTATGTCTCCTGAGTGACGCTTAACTATCACAGTTCCACGCCAAGTAGCGATCACCCTGTTCACATCCTGCTGCTGCCTCTACCCAGCTGAACTCTGTGTGGAGATGATGGGCAAACTCACTGCTAGGTGATACTAATGCGGAACCCACGTTCCTACCGATAAACCCCATGATATCAGCTAAGCTCTACAACAAAGAGAATAAAGCTCTGAAAGGTAGAGCCAGATTTTACAGCATTCTAACCAACTACAGGAGAATCTAGAACTTTCTCCAAATCCCATGTGTTGCTCATTGCTTCCGGGATAGCTAAGCTTTGACTTTAAAAACTGAACACTGCGCTGTGCTCTGGGGGTGTCCCAGACCAATGAGTCCTTTTCCCTAATAGGAGGTGACAGTGTTCTGCTTTTGTCCCTTTGTGAAGAGTCACAAGGACCCAGAGTATCTATCCTTCTCACAAACTCTGGAAGTTTTCAACCTGAGATTATACTAAAGGAGAATCTTGATTCCAGAACTCAAGACAAATTGAGGGTTCAAGGACAGTAGGAAGAAAGACCATATGACATACAGGGGTCTAGAACTTCAGAACACTGCCTCATTTGTGGATTAATGCTGTTCTTTAAATGAAACACTGATGCCCTGGTGTCTGAGAATGCCTTTTGTGATGAAATCTGAGACCTAAACATCATAGTCATGTAAACATGATGGAAGGGAAGGGGTGTGACAGAATCTTTCAGGAAAAGCAAGCTATGAAAAAGCTAAAGACTTTTCCTTTAGCTATGGGTTGATAGAGGAGCTATAAACTTTAAACAGAAACAGAAGGTACTTGGTATAATCCTGCTAGCGCAGACAAGGCCATAATACCAACAGGAAAGATCTAGCCATTCATGTACCCTTTTTAAGGGAGTGGGATCAGAAGTGACGAGTCTGATAGGTGCCTTGAGCTATGATACTCTTTATAAGTTTTGGCATTAAATTTACCCTCATTCTTTTGTGAACCAGCAGGCTGCATTAACAGGCTACATAATTATCTTCCACCACCCCTATTTGTGCTCATAGTCCTTTCCATGCATCATAGAGGGCTCATTCCTTTCCGCACCCCACAGGGATCCTAGAGAAGTAGGTGGGACACATACAACAGGCTAACCGTGAAAGGGCCACTCTGTAGAAGGACTGGCTCCACCAGGGTGTCGGTCCCACAACCCCATAGGGCCCATCCTCATCTGGCCCTGATACCCAAGGAAAACACTGACCTCAGCAGTGCTAGCTATCAAATGGACAGGATGTACCCATTCTTTTCAGAGTCTCTGGGCTGGAGAGAGAAAAGGCTTCTCTTTGAATGGCTAGGAAGGCTCTCTATGTTGCTGGCCTTGCTTAGAAACAAGGAGCTAGGCCCATGTCCTATCACCTACCAGTCTTCAAGGAGAATGACAGAAATGAGAAGATCCAAGCCTGAACTGATGAGCAGAGCCCGGTCTTGTCACCAGAGCTCAGAAAGCAAGGTCTTGTCACCACCAAGGTTTCCTTGCCAACCCAAGAGATCACTCCAAAATAAAAGCCCCAAGCTCCTCTGCAGGCCAGGATGTTTGATGAGGCAAGCCTTCAAGAGAGCCCAGACAGGCCTTCCCCAACCTGGCTCTGGTTGGATGGGCAGAAAATCCAGGCCCAACCTACCAGGAAGTTCAGAGAAGTGAATCCAGGCTAGCTCTCCTAACACTGGCCCACAACCCCTTCCTACCGAGAGCCACGTTGAGGCAAGCAGCACAGGAACTGTCTCTGGCTCTTTGTATAGGAGAAAGTTGATTACTTAGGATAGCTAAGCAAAGGCCACATAGTGCCAGCAATTATCTCCGTAGAGCCCCTGAGTGGGCTCCTAACTGGGCTGAGAAGTCAGCTCCTAACAGTCAGTGGGCTGGAGGACAGTGTAAACCCAGATGGGGACAAGACACTGTAGTCAGAGTCACCAGGAAGCACCATGGTGGCCTCCCTGACCTCAGGAAATAAGTCAGTCACAGAGACTGGGTTCTGACCACCATGGCCCCTAGGGAGGCTGGGCCTTCAGTGTGCCCTGTAAGGAATAGCCACTCACTTATCCAGGACGAAGTATATGTCAGGGGTGGCCTGGCATGGTATCTGCTTCGAACTCCTTCGGTGCCACATATGCCTTTGGTTCTGGGCTTCATGGTGGTGGAAATTTCTGGAGCCCAAGGCCAGGCCAGGGTAGCTTTCCCAGTTAGGGTACTGGGACAGGAAGTTCCCTGTGCTGAGCAGTGATGGAAGCAGCAGCAGCAGGAACAGGAACACAGAGTGAGATCCTTGAGGGCAGCAGGCCAGCATCTTCTTGGTGGTCTTAGAAAGGTTTCAGATAGATGGGCCACAGGCCACCTCTGTCTTCTTTCTCGGTTTCTGCTGCCACTGCTTGCACTTAGGGACAATAGCCCTTGTGTCTTCTCACCAATGCTCACTGCTGCTGTCCACTCATTGACCTCAGAGCAGAGGGACTGGGGACATAGCTGCTCTGGGGGTTCCTGCCTCTCAATACCTGCATAGACCTTTACCCAACACTCTAGGGTTATGATGGGCAGGAAGGTTGACATGGTGACTTTGTGACCTGCCCCTCTGCTCAATGTCCTGCATGCTGACAGTGCCAAGAGGCAGTCACAGATCATATGGTGTCAGATAAAGGCTCCTTGTCCCTCACCTGTATTCCTGTATGTCAAGGAATCCAGACATCTGTTAACTGAGATGGTATTTCAAAGTGGTCAAGATCATGGGTCATCATTAGTGAGGAAATGGACATTAGGAAACTGTGGGTCCCTAAGTCAGCTGACAAAGTCTAGAAGGGGGTGGAGGTGCCACAATTTTCTGTGAGCAGGGGCAGTTCAGTTGTTCACTGCCATGTGACAAGCTGTCCCAACTTGGTGACTTAACCATTTTACTATATTTGCAGGGTGGGGCCCTCAGAAGGACAGGGTATATTTCAGGATAGTTCTTCTTGGGGAGAGTTCCGGCAGGAGTCAGAATTGCCCAGTGGCTTCCTCAGCAGCCCCTGGGCTAACGCTCATCTCCTGCTCGGACCCTGCTGCATCTCTCAATGAGACCCACAATATGCTAATGGAATCTTAATCATTCTAAAATACCAAATATTCAAGACATTCTCTCAAATAATTCTTGAAACAAAAGCCCACCAATTCAATGCAGTGTGCTGTGAGTCATTTGCATGTTATATGAACTAAAAAATCTATTTTAGACTTACTAAGAACAATTTTATCAGATTTGTTTTCATGCATAAAGAACAAAGAAAAATTGATTGGGAGTGTTTCTAAGCTTATTCACCCTCCACTGGAAGGTTCTGAAACCTTTTTAAATGCAACTGCCTTCCCATCGCACATCCCCTTGCCCCTACAAGTGCTATGATGTCATAGTGGGCCAAGACCACCCACAATGCTCCAAAAGCCGGGGGCTGTGTCCTTGTTTCTAACTGTTCTCTGCTGCAGGAGCTCTGATCTACAAACATAGGTGTCATAAAGGCTTCCATATTTTAATGTTGCCCCCTGTACATGCTCTCAAAGAGATGCTCCTCCGTAAGACCTTTTCTTGACGCTACCATATGTGAGGAGCCCCAAGTCGTAGATATCCACAGATACAAGGGTTCTGTGAACAGCTGCAGATGAGTCTTTGGAGTCCTCCAGACCAGGTACCACAGGCGGTAGTGAAGATGATTCCGGATAATTTCAGTCTCCATCACACAAGTCCTGCCTCAGGGCTGACGTCTTTCCAGGAGCTCTGTCATTCCACACTCCTTAAGGGTCTGATTCATGGAATGCGTGAGCACAATAAATGGTTCTGTGTTGTCACCAAGATCGGGCAGCTTGTCATATGGCCAAGAATGCCTGGACTGCTTCCATCCACAGAGGATGCTGACAGCAGTGCCCGATCTCCATCCCTTTCTAGACCCTGCTACTGCCTGGCTGACTCGAGGGCACACAATTGGCCTCATGTGTCCCACACATAGGCTTCCCGGTCCTTTGGCCTCCTCACCCTTAGTGATCTGGTAACCTCACTCCCTCTGCTACATTCTTAGAGAAAAAAAAATGATTGGGTTCCTTGAGATGGCCCCTAAGGATCTCTGTGAGGAGAGCTGTGATGAGGGACAAGGAGGCCTTATTTGAAACCTCTGCAAAGGTCCTATGACTGCCACTTGGCACTGTCAACATGAAGGCAGTGAGCAAAAGGGCAAGTCACAAAGTCACCATGTCAACCTCCCTGTTCATCATAGGTATTGGGGCAGGGTGATAGAAGCAGGGAGAGGAAGGATGCTCGAGAGCAGCTACATACCCAGTCTCTAGGTTCTGAGGCCCCCAAGTAGACAACAGCAGGAAGGACTGCTGAGAGGGCACAAGGGTTATGTTCCTTAATGCAGGCAGAGGAAGACGAAAGGGAAGTCTGAGGTAGATAGAACTTGGCCTGCATAGACTCTGGCACAGAGTCCCCATTTCTAATAGAGTCACAGTGTCAACCAAGAAGATGCGAGACCATAGCCCCCAGGTGTCCCGTTCGGTGCCCCTGCTGCTGCTGCTGCTATTGTCTGTGCCACTTGTCTCAGTCCAGAGTTCCTGGCATCCTCACTCTGGCCAAAATCCCTATCATGAGTATGCTGCTAGGTTCTATGGTTATGAAGACTGGAGGTCAAGGCAGGCTACGGTGGAGGCGGAAGAGGTTCTGCAGTATTGTGACGGTGACTTTGATGTTTACTTCGTCTTTGACAAGTGAGTAGCCCTTGCCACCCTGGCCCTAGATAGCCCCCATGTGTTTCTATGCCCTGGTGGAACAAGGCCTGCAGCATGGTAGCTTCTGCCAGGAGAGAATCAGGAAAAGTCTGTGAGTGATTAGCCAGGCAGGGGTGGTGCACGCCTTTAAACCCAGAACTCAGGAGGCAGAGGCAGGCGGAGTTCTGTGAGTTTGAGGCCAACCTGTCTACAGAGTGAGTTCCAGGGCAGCCAGGGCTACACAGAGAAACCCTGTATTTAAAAACCAAAGTTGGGGGGGGGGGGAGACCAGAAAATTGGATCTCTCTGATTTCCTTTATGCCTAGACAGGGAAAACATCAGGAGGTCCTTTGGTAGATTTTGTCTGTTTTTTTTTTTTTCATTTATCATCTTTCATTGGTTTCTTCATTGAATTTGAAGAAAACGAGTGTGCGTCTGCTTTCTAGTTCAAGTAGCTTTTGAGGACCAGGGGAGGGAGCCACCTGGACAAAGACTCTGAGATTCAAACTTCTTATGACTGCAGTAGGATCACAATATAAGGAGATGGGATTAGGGGGCAAGATAAGAGGGAGGACAGATATAAGGGGGTGTCGCTAAGTAAAAGGAGGGGGGCTCCAATATGTGTTTTCCGAGGAGCACTTTGTCTGCCTGGATGGCTGAAGGGTGGATCTGGGGCTGCAGCGCAGTGGGCTTCAGAAGCCCATGCAGTGCCTGGGAGACATCAGATTGCAAGCTCTGTGCTGGTCATACATAATGAAGGGGGCAGGGAGATAGAAGCCAGGATGTCACCCACAAGCCTGAAGTGGACAGAGAAGAGAAGCTGGCGCACAGGAGCAAGGTCATGCTGATGGCCGCCTGCTCTGAGAGCTAGGCTCAGCACGGTGCAGCCCGGGTTCACTGGGGAGAAGAAATGTTCCCCATGGCTGTGCTGGTTGGCTTTTGTCAACTTGTCACGAAATAGTCATTGAGAAAAGGGAGACTTTGATTGAGAAGGTGCCTCCATCAGATGGCCTGTGGACCTGTCTGGATTAATGATTGACGTGGGAGGGCCCAGCCCACGTGCCCCTTCTAGACAGGTGTTCCTGGATTGTATAAGAAAGCAGACTGAGCCAACCACAGGAACAAGTCAGCGGGCCGGTGCTCCCCATGGCCTCTAACTCAGTTCCTGCCTTGAGGTTCCTCCTTGAGTTCCTCTCCTGACTTCCCTTTGTGATGGACTGTAAGCTCCAAGATGAAATAAACCCTTTCTTCTCCCAAGTTGGGCACAGCAAGAGAAAACCAACTAAGGCTCCATGGCTGGTACCTGCCATCTCGGGCTCCACTTCTCCCTGCTTCCTTTGGGTGGCTATGGGAGCTGCTGGATAAAGCACATCTGAGTCACTGAGCTCTAGAGGCAGAGGCTCCAGTTTCCTTCCTTCTCTGAAGCATGTCACCAGGGAGTCTAAGTGAGAAAAAGGTGACTTTGCTTTAGACTGTCCTAAAAAGGAAAAGAAAAGACTGGGGTAGGATGGGGTGGGGGGCAAGGCACGAGGCTTTCTAGGTCTGTGTTTCCTATCTTTTACTGTCTGTCTTTGTAGTGAATATGGACACCCCCTAATCCCAATCCCGGCATAGCCCGTAATTCTTACCACCCAGGTTTCTCTATGTCAAGGCTTTGCCTCCGTGACAGCGATGCACAAGGGACAAGATGCTGGCCTGGCTCTGTGAGGACTGAGAGCCTTTTGCTCTTAGAACTCGGTAGTGTGGAGGCAGTGCTTCTGAGTCACTCCGTGATCCTCTGCATAATGCCTCCTCCTCTGGCCTGGTTTTCTTCTCTCTGCTGTTTCCCTCCGCAGCCAGCAACCTGTGGGCAAGTTTCTACCAGTAAAGGGGCCTCAGCATCTGAGTGTCAGCCCTTGTTGGCTTCGGGACAGATGGTTGAACAGCAGCTTGAGAAAAGACCACTGCTTCCTGTGGAAAAAGAAGGACCTTCCTTCTGGCCCTCTCATGGCGCCTGTCAGCACCCCTCAGGTGTCTTTGACCAGTGAAACCTCCTTTATACTTTCCTTGGACACTTCACAGCTGACTGAGGGGAGATACAGCAGCTGCTTGTATTTCCTCTGATAGCATAGCACTTATTTTCCTTTCATTTTCTAGCTCTCTGTGATGTAAAATCCCTATGCTAACTGCACATCTATCCCCACACCACCACTTATCCAAATTCTTAAAATTAATTTTTTTTTATTTTTGAGAATTCTTTTTTTTTTTTTTTTTTTTTTAATTTATTTATTTATTAAGAATTTCTGCCTCGTCCCCACAACCGCTTCCCATTTCCCTCCCCCTCCCCCGATCAAGTCCCCCCCCCCCTCATCTGCTCGAAGAGCAATCAGGGTTCCCTGACCTGTGGGAAGCCCAAGGACTGCCCACCTCTATCCAGGTCTTCTAAGGTGAGCATTCAAACTGCCTAGGCTCCCACAAAGCCAGTACGTGCAGTAGGATCAAAAATCCACTGCAATTGTTCTTGAGTTCTCAGTATTAAAGCGTTTAATTGGGGTGGCTTACAGTTTCAGAGGTTAAGTTCATTACCAT